GAGAACTCCAATTAAAATACAACATGAAATTATCATGAATTCCGGGATGATGACAGTGACTATGACAATAATCAAGAATTCATAGAATATACTTTGCAAAGCGCTTGATGTTGGATAACATATTAGTGTCCAACAAAACATGGTTTTAACCAGTTGAGCAATAAAAATACCATATTAACATTAAGCTGTTTCATGTATGCGTGGATGTCTCATATCATATTTCTTTTCTTTTTTCCCTGAAAGACTTTATAAGCCTCAAATTGAAACTTCTTGAAACATGGTCACTGCAGAATGCGAGAGGAGTTTTTGATGCAGCAATTAAGGTTGTGCGCCAGCCACCGAAGCAGAAGAAAAAGAAGGGAAGGGCTCCAAAGGCCTGCTCTATATTGTGAGGATACCATGGTGCATAGACTTTATTCCTCTCCTTTACCTCTTTTTATCTTCCTTTGCCTCAGAGGAAGTGGGAGGTCCTCTTCTATGTTAAAATGTCGGTGGCTTGGTCTCCTTGTAGTGCTCTTGTAAGTGGGAGGTCCTCTTCTATGTTAAAATGCTGGTGGCTTGGTCTCCTTGTAGTGCTCTTGGTATCAATTGTCGAGTCAAGCTGTAGCTACTTCATTGCTCTTGGTATCAGTTGTTGGTGTCTCAGTTTTTTATTTTTATGGATTCATGGAACAAAAAATCGTTTTAGAACACGTATACTTCGCAACATTGTCTTATATCATTTAGTTCTTATGAATGTCGAAGCAAACATGGTGCAATTCCATTTGTTACAAAGTACGTGAGTTCTGTTTTTGGCTATTCTGTTATGAGCAATGGTATTCTTGTTTCAGTTGATGGTTGTGCTTTGGCATTTTTATGTTTTCTTAGTGAACTTAACTGGTAAAAGATTTTAGGAGTCACTGAATGTACCTTAAGGTTCTAATGGGTTTGTTGAACTTCATCTTGTCTTTCGTACTTCCCTCAATTTATACTTTTATTTCAATTAAGAAACTGCATCCAACTCCCTTAGCTCGCCAAACAGAAAAATGACGCGGATGCTACGTTAGTGTTTCTGTTTGACAAGCTAATGGACTGGATGACTTGATTGAAACAAAATTATAAACCTATCTATTTGTGATAGGAGTAGTTCGATAATACACTGGAAATTGAAATTGAGGACCCTCAAAGTTTTTAACTGAACTTAGTTGTTTGATGGTATATGTTAAGCAGAAAGGCAGATTCTTGATCTGGTTTCGAAATTTTCATTATCTGGCCTCTGATTCTTTCTGTGATATGCCTGCAAATATATTGGCAACGTATTTAAAGATTTTTCATCATCAGGCCATTTGTAGATAGAATATTTCTCTTATTTGTGTTAGATAAATATGATACTATTGTTTTATAATTGTCTGTTCTTATTCCCATCCTCCCTTCTGTGACATTGTTAGAGTAACGTAATAATTTGCATTACCAACTGTAGATTTTGGGGCTCCAATATACCACTAAAACCGGGCTCAGAAAACAACAAATCGAACACCACACAGCTCAAGCTTCGACCCAACACTTCTTCCACTTGGTTGCTCCAAGGTTTACATCCACAAAGGATCATGGTGGTGGTGGTTTGCAAGTTTACATGGGATGGAAGGAGAAGAGAGTAACCATGGTAGAATCTCACCAAGAAATCTCCCCACAAAGCCGGCTGCTTCTCTTCATCTCGTCTGCCTTTCTCTTATTACTTTTGCATACACACCCACACTGGTTTGCTTGGGAGGGATATGTATAAATTAGGTTATCAACCTAATTTGGGCCAAGACTCACATCTCTCTTTATGGGCCAACAGATACAATAAATGGGCTAGGTAAATGGGCTAACAATAATCCAAACCATAGACTAATCAAACCACAAAACCCAACAAATCTTCGCCTTGATTCCCAATAAATCTGCAAGCAAACAAAACACACAGTTTATACTTGCACAATCAAGGTAATCAATAAAATTGATTTCACAGACCTTATCTCGTGTTTCGAACCTGAAACACCTACCATACCTGCTCCATATACTCACCAGGGCTAAAATCAAGAACACCCAAATAGAAGCAAGTAATTACAACAATCAATCAATAGCAAATAAACATGCGACAGAGATATCATATAGGATAACACAGATCTTTTCAAACACGTTCACACAGAACAACAGATTAACACCAAGTCAATCAACAGGCCAACACATACGCAACAAAATGCATAAATGGCCTCACGAAGATCTCTCCACACTTATCCTATCTCATTCTGTGTTGCTCGCTTCTCGAGAACACATATCTCACA